AATGCCGTGCCAGTTAATGATGTATCCTAGGAACTTACTCGAGGTCACACCGAATACACACTTGTTTGGGTTCAATCTCATATTAAACTTACGCAAAATTTCAAAAACAAAATGCAAGTCTTGTATTAATTCATGTGAAAATTGGGTTTTGACGACCATGTCATATACATAGCATTATACTTTTCTGCTAATTAACGGCGCAAACAACTTATTTACAAGCCTTTGAAAGGTTGTCCCTGCGTTTTTCAACCCGAAGGTTATAACCTTGTAACAATATAGACCGAACTCCGTGATAAAGGCAGTCTTGTCTTCATCCGCCGGGTCCATCTTGATTTGGTTATAGCCCGAATAGGCGTCCAAGAAACTTAGCAACTCGTGCCCTGAGGTCGCATCTACCAAGCGGTCAATTCTGTGGAGCGGGAAGTAGTATTTTGGGCAAGCACGGTTTAAGTCGGTGTAGTCGACGCACATGCGCCACTTGCCATTGGCCTTCTTTACCAGGATGGGGTTGGCTACCCAGTTCGGGTAATGGACTTCTCTTATGAAGTCAGCTGCGAGGAGCTTCTCGACCTCCTCGTCGACCGCTTTCCACCGCTCTGGAGCTAGGTTGCATTTCTTCTATCTAACGGGCCTAACTACAGGATCAGTATTCAGCTTGTGAGTTATAAGGTCAGGGTCTATATCGGGCATCTCTGTCGCGGACCATGCAAAAATATCCTAATTTTGAAGTAAGAAACTTACCAGTCCGGATCGTAGAGGTTCCTGGACGGAAGCACCGATCTGAAGCATCCAAGTTGGGTCTGTTGCTGAGGTCGGGACTACGACTGTTTCTTCCGTGGGTGCAGCTCGTTCTTCGCTTTGTTCTGTAGGCCGCTCCAGTTTGAGGTTGTCGGCCACCTTGGTCTTTCCCTTCAGGGCGGCGACATAGCACTTGCGGGACTCGAGCTGGTCGCCCTGCGCTACCCCCACACCGAAGTCTGTAGGGAACTTCATAGCCAAATGATAGATGGAGACCACCGCCCGTAGGACATGGGTGATCTGCCGACCTATTATGGCATTGTATGGGGAGGGGGTCGCGACCACCAGAAAGTTGTGGTTGAATCTAACTACGCAGGGCCATGTGCYGACTTCCACAGGTACTGTTATTTTCCCAAGGGGCCGGACTTCTTCTCCGCTGAAGCCCACCAAAGGAGTGTCCGCGGGCTTCAGGTCACTTTTCTGCAACTGAAGCTGGTCGAACACGGCTTTGAAGAGGATATCTGTCGAGCTACCCGAGTCAACGAGTACGCGCTTGACCTCGAAGTCATTGATCCTCAGCTTTATCACAAGTGCGTCATCGTGGGGGTAGTGGACCCCTCGCGCATCATCTTCCGTGAAGAAAATTGGCTCTTCTGTCCTCGACCGCTTTGGAAGATTCTGTTCTTCCCGGGCGGCCTCATGAACTGATGTCCGAGTTGTTGCTGAAGTACAACCTGCGACGATCGAACCTCCCACTATCACGTGGATTGTGCCCCGAACCGGCCTCTCTTCCGGAGGTTGCCACTGTGACGGTTCGGCCGGCCTGCTGCTGGACTCGGGAGCATCCTTACCGTGCTCCCCTTGCCGACCTGTTTTACTATTATTATTATTATGTACAAAATTCCTTAAAAATCCACGACAGATGAGCTCCTCAATCTCGTCGCGGAGGTTTTTACAATTTTCGGTACTATGACCGTGATCTCTGTGAAAACTGCAGTACAAATTCTTATTTCTTTCATTGGGATTCCCCCTTAAACGGGGTGGCCACTTCACATACGGGCGTCTTTGATTGCCATCAAGATTTCGGCCCGCTTCGCGTTCAGTGGGGTGTAGTCAGTTCGGTCCGCTACTAAAGCTCGGAACGACTGACCCGGCTTTGCTCCCCGAGCTGCAGCTTTTTTCTTTTAGTTGTCCCCTTGGCTGGGAGGTTCTCCTTCCCTTTTCCTCTTCTCGGGTGCGCCCTCGCCCTTTTGGTTGATCTCTTCCTCCGTGGCTATAAACCTGTCTGCGAGCTTAAGAAATTCAGTTATGGTCGCCGGTTGGTTGACGACCATGTGCCATTTGAACTCTTTATGCGTCACGCCTTTCTTGGCTGCTGCGAGGCGCACGGCGGGGTCCAGGCGCGGTATCTGCATGCACGCATCGTTGAACCGCTTGATATAGCTTCGGATGGACTCTCCCTCTCTCTGCACTATGCTGAGGAGACTTTCTTCAGTTCACGGGCACCGTTTGCTGGTGACGAAGTGGGACGTGAAGGCTTGCGCGAACTACGCCGAAGTTCTTATCGATCCAGGTGCCAAGTTCCGGTACCATGTACGGGCTGCTCCTCTAAAAAGTGGTGGAGAAGGCCACGCACATGCATGACTCACTGGCTCTCGCTAGGTGCATCTACGACTGAAAAGCGTCCACGTGATCATTTGGGTCGAATGACCCGTCGTACTTGTCAAGAGGGGGGAGTTTGAAGTCTTTAGGCATTGGGACAACCAGGAGGTCAGGAGATAGGGGAGACTGAACTGAAAGGAGGGGAGCCTTGGCTTCGCCCGAGCTTACCTCTTCTTTGCCTCCGAGCTCGGGCAGATCATGGGTGGTAGATTGGCGAGCTCGGCGGTGGCGTCTCTGCTTCTTGGCGGGCTCGGCGTTGGTGTTGCTCACCTCTGTGCTGTCAGGAATGGTGTGTTCAGGAAGTAGCTCAGGCCGCTGGTGATGGCTGCGGACAGAGGGATCCTGCTTGGAGCCTGCGGCCAGGATCCCGAACCGGTTCTCTAGGAATGGGGTATCGGGCTTCGAGGGCTGAGGAGACGTGGACTTGGCGAGCTGGGGTCCTCCCGACCTGATTGCCCGCGGTGAGACCGGAGTGGCTGGTCTTCCTTATCTGCTGCGGGAGGAGGCCTAGCTCCCAGGAGGGTTCTGGGGGGCCTCTCCTTGGCGAGAAAGGTGTTCCTCCTGACGGCGAGACTTGGCTCGCTACGAGGCTGGGTGCCGAGGAGGGAGCTGCGGTTGCTGAAGCTGAGGTTGGGGCAGCTGAGGGAATTGCTGCTGATACCGGTACTGGGAGACCTGGTGCAGCACCTGCTGTTGATAGATCTAGAACTGTTGAAACTATTGCATTTGAGCCTGCATGGCCCGCATGCACTGCACCAAGTCCTCTAGTTGGTTCGGGTTTGCCGCTGGGGGCACAACTAAGGGTTCGGTGAAGGTTGCTCCGACTGTGGTAGGGAGTGGAGCAACGACAGGTGCCCCTGTAAGAGTTCAAACTAGGAATCCTGTCTGCTGAGAGGGGGATGGTGAACTGTCTGATGCAGACAGTAGGAAACTGAGGTTGTTCCCTCGAGTTGTCCAGGGAAGAAAGAGCTGTGAAGGTTTAGAGAAAGGCTTTTCGGAGCGTTTCCCACAGACGGCGCCAATTGATGAGTCGCAATCCGGTCACTCCTAGCCGGCACTCACGTGGCTCCTGGAAGATACCTGAGATGTGGAAGAAGAAGAATCCCTGGGGGGGTTACCCAGCGGGAACACTTCGATGCTTAAGTTAGTACTTTGTAGGAGAAGCAAGGAGAAGACGAAGGCTAAGAGTGCATATAAAGCGAATATAGATCATACCTCGTTCTTTGAGAATAGGCTCCTTAAAACAGAATTCCGTTGCATCAGGCCCACTGGCCTTTGACAGGGCAGGTATAACTGCCACTGTCAGCCTGCCGCAGCCGTTGCAGGCAGGGCTGAGGTGACACGTGCGGGGCCGTCATTGCAAGGTACGTACCTGTCAGGTGTAAGGCACCCTCTAAAGTGGTAGGCACAATGCTGTCTGACGAGAGATATGGCTGCTGTCCCCAGATTTGTCGGATACGGTGGTCGGGCAGGAGGTCTTCTTGTGGTATGCCGAACTCCCCTTCCGTGAGTTACCCTATGTCGGGCTATCTCGTAAGTGGCAACCTGCCCGTGGCAAGCTAAACCGAGTTGTCTGACCCGAGGTGTCTTCGCCTCGAGGTATTTATAGGCGAATCGGTGTATTCCTGTCTAGGAGTGGCCCGAGGTCCACTGGGAGGAGCTCGGGTATTAGAAAAGGTTAAGGGACCTCGAGCTCGGGGGCAGCTCGGGGTGCTTTAGCCCCAGGGAAGAGGTGCAGGCCAGGCGGCTCCCGGTGAGTAGTCTATCTTGCCGAGTTGTCGGGCTCAACTCGGTGGGACCCTCCCTCCGAGTTGAGGCTATGCCTGCTGTGTTGTCACGCTGAGTCATCGTTTGAGCAAGGTCACGCCCACGTGTACCCGGGCTACGAGGTCGGGCCAAATCATCCTCCATCACTTGCCATTTGGAGATCTGAAGCTCGACTGGAGAGAGAGAGAATGAATGACACGGGAAAAAGAGTTCACGACGGTATAGACGATAGTAGCAAGAGGGAGAACGATGAGTATTGCGGACCTAAGGAATTCCAAAGGGAGGTGACCATGCCGGCCAAGCTGTCGGCGTAGAGGGAGAACGAGACTATAAGTACAAAATCGACAAGCGGATCGAAGGAGTCCGAAGTGGTGGTGGGGATGAAACTGGCAAACGAGTTCTTAGGCTCTTGGAAACAGTTGGAAGAACAACGGTAAGCGAGTGCAGAGAGTGGAAGTGCGATCTCAGTGAACGTGGCGACACCTTGCCGTCGATGAAGAAGAAGACTTCGCCAGAGAAGTTCTAACCATTGTAGGGGTGTGGTGCTCGATTGGGAGACCAATTCTCATGCTATTGATGTTTCTTTCTCACTCTCATCGCAACGGTTTCGTTTCTCACTGGGGTCGCACCTATTCGGTGAGACCCCACATCCCAAATTTTGAGAAGAGATTTTCCTCGCATCTCACTCTTTCGCACAAAACAAACGTGAGAAAATAGGAATCTTAAGCGAACATTCCTATTTTCTCATCCCCGTCCCACAAACCAAAGAGACTATAAGAAATAAGAAGTAAGAGAAAACGAATAACGATTTCTATTCATAAGTTAAAAGATTCGTTTTAAGTGATAAAGAGTTAAAAGGAAACGAACAGCCCTCTCGAGTCGCGTATTCTTCGAAGGTATAAACCCTCCAAGGGTTTTAGGAAAGAAAACGTCGGACACGGGGGCCTTTTCTTAACATCGTCAAATTCGACTGCAACAACCCCAACGACAAACCCTAAAATTCCTGAAAACCCCACCTCTTCTTCTTCAATGTCTTCTTCTTCTTCAATTGAAACCGTAGAAATTTCTACACCTGCAACTTCAAACCCTTCCTCACCTCCTGAAACCAACGCCCTAGAATCACAAACACAAATGGAAACCTCAACCCCTTCAATGGAGAGGAAAAACGATGGGTATGAAAATCCCGAGGTTTCAGAGCAGCGAGACGTGTCAAGAAGTGAAGAGGTCGATGAAGGGGGAGGAGATGGAGATGAGGAAGAGGGGGAGTGTGGTTTCTGCTTATTTATGAAGGGAGGTGGATGTAAGGACGCATTCATTGCTTGGGAGAAGTGCATTGAAGATGCAGAGAAGAACAAAGAAGATATCGTCGAGAAGTGTTTCGAGGTGACGGGGTTGTTGAAGAAGTGCATGGAGGCACACTCCGATTATTATGAGCCGATACTTCGGGCAGAGAAGGCGGCAGAAGAAGAGGCAACGAAAGAATTGGAGCGCGAAGCTTCTTCGAGGGAATTCGAGCGAAAAGCTGATTCTGAGGAATCGAAAAAAGAGACTGCACCACAGGATAAGCAGGGAAGCTAGGAGCTTTTCAATTTTTTTTTTTTTTATTAAGGACAAGCAGGACACCTATTTTTTTATTTATTTTATTTCAACCCTTGATTCATGGGCATGAGCGGCACGAGTGAAGGGACTTGACAGAGATTAAATTATGGAAATTGTCGGATCCTTGAGGTAACTAAGAGATCGCGAGCTTTTTGATTGTTCAATCACGTTCCTTAATGTTGTCTTTGGGGAATAAATGGATAAAGAATTTTGTTACACTCTATTCATATATAAACATGAATTTTGCAAGTATGTACATGTACTTGATTCGGCTCAGAGAATTCCTGCTATTGTTTATGCATACAAGAGGCTTTTAGTTTGAAATATGACATGTGATTTGTGGGAAACACCTGTTTTATTTTTTCTCCCTTTACTCAAAGAATTTTTTGAGACACTGAAATTCATCTCTAAACATGAATTTTACAATTATGTACTTGATTCTACTGAGGGGATTCCTTCTATTATTTATCAATGCAAGAGTCTTTAGTATGAAATATGATATGCGATTTAAAGGAAACAACCTTTGTTCATTAGTTGAAAATCATCTTGAAAAAAATTAATCCTGAATATTATGATTTGTTATAAGATGGGGAGTCCAAATATTTATGAGTTTAAACGTTAAGCTATTTTCAAGAAAGATGAATTAGCTGTTGGTAACATAACAAATGGAATTGCTTTGTAATGTCTCAATGCTGATTTTCAATTTTTTGTTTATTTGTATGGAGGTATGCGAATATTTTCCAACTTTAGATGGGGATGTCAATCAGGATGGAATTTGACCATGGTTGACTTACTTTTACTAAATATTAATAAAAAAATAAAATTTATCTTCATTATCTTTGTTTTTCTATTTTGACCATTGAATTGATTGATTGAAACCTTGAGTTGCTAGGAAAATGTTAAAAATTTAGATGAAAGATTTCCAATGCTTTTGGAAGATAATGGAAACTCTAATTTGGATTTCAAAGAGTTTGGTTTCAACTCAAAGTCGGACTTTGATATTAAAATGCTTAGTTTATTTGAAAGAGATGGGATTGGTCATAGAGGAGAGGTAGAGTTGGAACCAGATCAGTTCTTTGAGAGAAATGTGGTATTGTAATTAGAAAGAATCAATGAAGATTAAAGGGCTTGGAGGGATCTGAAGAAAAAGACTAACACTGTAAGAAGTGGAAGGAAACCTGCAGGAGAAGTAAAGAGATCCCTATTTAAGTTGCCAAAGAGTTTGCTCATTTATTTATTTATTTTTTCATTGTAGGGTGTTGTTATGGACGCATTCCTCGGGAAGGCGTATCGTCGCCACCGGCAGCAATAGGCACCTGACCCACCGCCAGCAGCAATAGGCACCTGACCCACCGCCAGCAGCAGCAGTGATTCAATGATTCTCATCCTACCCAGTTCGGCAACAGTAGCCTTATCTAGATTAGATTAGATCATCTTGCTTGTTCTTATCTTATTGTTCTTGTCTTATTCTATTGCTCTTATCTTATCTTGTTAGTAGCTTATCAGATTAGGATTAGCTTATCTTATCAGATTAGGATTAGCTTAGCTTATCTTATCTTGTTAGTAGCTTATCAGATTAGGATTAGCTTATCTTGTTAGTAGCTTATTAGATTAGGATTAGCTTATCTTATCCTTAGCAAGATAGAACTCGAAGTCTCCCTATTCAGCAAGGAGACTCCCTTTGATTAGGACTCTTGTAATCTCCT